GGGATCGTAGCGATACAAGTAATTCCCTATTTCCGGCGAAGGTTTAAATGCCTGCTGATATCCGTACTCCGGATCCGTGAACCAAATAGTCCCGTCACTTTTCATCACAACGTCGTTGGGAGAGTTGAACTTCCTGCCATAATAGGAATCGATAACTACTTCGACCTCCCCCGTTGACATGTCAGTCCGTGTGATCCGCCCAAGGGCTGTATCTCTGAAACCTTGCTCACAGGTTAATAGCTTGCCATCCAAATCCTTGCTCTGGCCATTCGGCATATTTGCTAAAGACGCATTCCGGAAAGTTGCAATGGTATCGCTTGCTATGTCGTATTGCTGGATGGTGATCTGTGGTTCTACATTCTCGTCAGTGTAGTCTGCCGGTGGTTGTGTTGTGTACAACAGATAACTGCTTTGTCCGTTGGAATAGTAAACTGGGCCTTCGTGAAACTCGGCCGGTTCACTGCTGTTATGGAGAAGTTCGAGCGTAGGTGAATCGCCAAGAATTTCTCTAAACATTTCATCAAATACCTGAAATGGTTCCGATGCGGGATCGACTTCGCATATAGCAATAACACGAAGGCTTTGCGTTAGAAATACGACCAAAGCGACGAGCGAGACTTTAGCGTGCATGTCTGTAAAGTATGATAGATATGAACAGGTCACGAAAGGGCAAATTATGAATACGTAAAAAGGACTATGTTTATATTAGAAATTAGACTGGCTAAATACATCTTGCTATCACGTCGGTATCAATGGCAACAAAGAAAAGCGAAATAACTGGTTAATAACGTGTGTCACAGTGTTTAAAACAGTCATGCAATCCAAAGTGGCCATGAAACCGTCAATCTCCGGTCAACATCTTGGTTCGGTTGATAAAGCGATGATGTGAACTGTACTACACTTCCAACATTACACATCACTACATTTAACTATTCTCTGAAGGGGCATTGTATACCGTTAGTAGTTTGCGAGGCAAAACTGGAAATCTGTCTTATGAAAAATGTTCTTCAGATGCCATTGTTGGCGTATCTCCAATATCAAAAAAAAAAAAAAAAAAAAGTCGAATCAATTTAAAGCGAACCTAAATGCGGCCTTAATTTATAGTTGTGTATATTCTTAACTGTATTCGAAATAATATTGCAGTGGTTTAATTTTGTTTTAATTATAACTGTAGCTTGGATAGGCATTTGAAGTGCTTGCCATGGAGGCCATTCATGGAGGGGAATAATTAACGAACAAACATATTTAACATCCGGGTACTTTTCAAAGCTATGACGTTTTAGTATCTGATCGCATTCGTATACGCCATTGTACATAGCCGTTCATGCTGCCAAGCATTGCGTACTATTAGTATAAACTCAACTTTTATATGCACAATGTGCTTTTTAAAACTTGGGTTAGAGCCTTATGCGTTTGAACCACAGTATTCTGAGAGTGAAAGCCCAGTTGCGTTAAAGTACCGTACTTCCCCGATCGTAAGCCCCTCCCGAGTATGAAGCCCATCCCTATGTTTTTATATGGAACGCCGTCACT